ATTTCCTTTCTTCTGAAGATATGCCTAAGAGTGGGATTACAGGGTAGGTGTAGATTTAACATCCTTTAAAAACCCTCCCAAGCAGTTATCCAAAGTGAGTGTCCCAGTTTACACACTCACCAGCAGTTTATGGGAATTGTAGTTGATCCCAGTCTTAGCCACTGTTTGATATTACCCATCTTTTTAAATTTTAGCCATTTAAGAGGGTATGAAGTAGCATCTCATTACAGTATTAATTTGTATGTTCCCAACAACCAAGGATGTTAAATATATTTTCTATGTGTTCTTTGGTCTTTTGTGCTTCTTCTTTTATGAAATATGTATCTGATAGTTGGATTATTTATTTGTCTCTTGCCTGGCCACACAGAAGTCCATTATGTATTCTCTGTGCCAATTTTTAAGAAATATTAATGTATGGAGAATATTATCTCCCAACCTGTGGGCTTGAATTTTTATTTTCTTAGCACCATCTTTCTGGAGGCAGAAGGGAGTTGAGAATTTGTAGAATATAGATTCACAGGAAATTGCAAATACAGTACAAATATATCTCTGGATAAAGGACAGGCCCCGGAAGTTTACATTTCTACACTTTATACATACAAGTCTGTGCTACTTGATCCCAACTGCAAATTCTGGGACCACCATCATGTTTGAGAAACAGAATTTCATCACCACAAAGGTCTTCTTTTTGTCACTCCTTATAATCATATCCATCCCACCGCCGCCGTCACCACCACCAGCATTTTCCCTAATGCTTGGCATCCATGGATTTGTTCTCCATATGTATACTTTTTATTTTGAAGATAATATGCAAATCAAAACACATCATATGTGTCCTTTTGAAGTTAGATAATTTTACCCAGCATAATGGTCTTAAGTGCCAAGATGTTGCAGGCATCAATAGTCCATCCTATGTAACTGTAGTATAGTTGTATCATAGTTCACTGAACCTGTTGAAGGATATTCTGGTTATTTCCAGTTTTACACCATCCAAATGAAACTATGATCAACATCAATGCACAGGTTTTCACTTCTCCTGGATAAATGCCCAGGCTGTGGTTGTTGGGTTGTGTAATAAGTGTATGTTCAGTTTTTAAAGTGATAGCCAAACTGCTTTCAAAGTGACAGCACCATTTTATATCCCAGTTAGTGTATGGAAAGCTAGTTTCTTTGGATCCTCTCCAGCATTAGTTATTGCCATTATTTCAAGCTTTTGCTCTTCTAATACATGCATCACCTGGAGGACAGTGAAAGGGCTTAGTATGTCTTTTATCTATTTTCCAGTTTGTTTTTCTACTGTTGAAATTTGAAGATTCTTTTTATATTCTAAGTATGATGCATTTATGCTTTGAAAATAGTGTTTCCTAAGCTGCAGCTTCTATGGTAATCATCTTAAAAACCTTTCACAGAGCAAATTTTACAAATCTTGATAAAGCTTATTTAATCAATTTTTAAATTTATGAATCTGCTTTTGGTTTCCAAGCTTTTGGTTGCTAAAAATCTATCAGCCACATAGGTCCTAATGATCCTACTTTCTGATTTATTTAAGAAGTTTTGCAATTTGTCCTCTATCTTTAAACCTACGATCCTATTTTTTTATTTATTACTTTATTTATTAATATTAAGAAGAAAAGGTAAAACAAATTTTCACAACAAAATAATGAAAAAGTAACAATTGTTAATAAATTACACAACATTATCTTTAGTCACTCAAGTACAAAATATGGGCATGAAAATTACTTCAATCAATATTAGCACAACCTTTCCTGTTCAGTGAACTAAGTGACACTGATGGTATAACTAACTTGCACTTTTTTTCTTTTCCCTTCTATCCTTTCTCTTTTCTCCTTAATTTCTTCTTTATATTAAACAGTTTCCTTCCATTTCACAGTGACTATTGTATATTTTGGACCTTATGGTTTCACACATGTCACTGTGGTGTGATGTTTTTCAATCATTCTGGGAAGATACACAGAAGGGGAATAACTGGGTTGAATGGAACCTCTAATCCTAATTTTTTGAGGAATCTCCACACTGATTTCCACAGTGTTTATACTAATCTACTCTCTAACCAATAGTTGTAAAGGGTTTCTTTTTCCCTACAGAACCAGGAGCATTTTTTATTGGTTGATATATTTTTTTTAAAAATTAAATGATTTTTTAATGAATAAGGGAGAGGATGAGATAAAAGGGGGCATAACAACGTAACAATACAGGCTAAAGCATGACACTTTCAGCAACCTACGATCCTATTTTATGGTCATTTACGTAGGAAGCAGGAAGCACGCAGTGGGGACGATGAGAAGCTGGCTGTTAGCAGCTGTGCTCCCGAGACAGATGGCAGAGATGCCTGCACAACAATGTGAACATACATAATGCCACCGAGCTACGCTTTAAAGCTTTAAAATGATAAAGTTTATATTAGGTATTTTAAACACAATTTTAAAAACTTGGATTCTGAAAGTGGAGGTATATTGTTGAATTTTCACTCTGCTCCATTTATCCATGTGTCTAACCTTTATGCCAGTACACACTCTCCTGCTTACTATATAAAGCAAATATTTGTGTAAAAAGCAAGTATAATTATTTTTTAAAAAGTATTGAAGTCAGGTCATGTGATTCTGCTAACAAGTTGTTTTTGTTCATGCTATTTTTTGTACTTTTTGGGTTCTTTGAATTTTTATTTGCATTTCTATAGGTAGCTTGTCAATTTTTACCGTACTTCCCCATAAAACATGTTGGGATTTTGATTGAACTTATGATAAGTGTCCTATCTGGCTGCTAAGAATTGACATCTTGACAATATTGAATTTTCCAAGCCATGATCACAACACATTTCTTCATTTGTTAACTTTGTTTAATTTTTCTAGCAATGATCAGGTTTTCAGTGTGCTGATATATCTTTTGTTAAATATATCTAAATATTTCTCTTTTTTTTTTTGTCTTTTTCATTTTTTTTCTTGGTACCAGGGATTGAACTCACGACTGCCTGCTTGCAAGGCAGGTGCTTATGCCTCTGAGCTAAATCCCCAGCCCCAATATTTCTCTTTTGATGCCATTATGCATAGGATTATTTTTAACTTATCTCCTGATTGTTTGCAATTATTTGTATTTAGAATATGAATAACTTCTGTGTATTTATCGTGTGTCCTTCAATCATACTAAATACACTAATTGTTTTGTCTATTCTTTGGTTCTTTATACGTAAATAAACTATGTGGTTACAATGGACCTTTTTTTTTCTTTCCAATTTTTATTATACTTATTACTTCATGCTTCCTAACACTAGCTGGGACCCGATATCAGATATCCTTATCTTTGATCTCAGGAAGAAACTATTCAGTATCTCCTGTCTTAGACATTCTCCTTGGTGCTGGAAAACAAACTCTTCCTCAGCTTAACAGAGAAGAGGTTTATTTGAGTTAATAGCTTTAGGAGGTTTTAGCCCATAGTCAGCAACAGCATGGCTGAGGGTAAAGCAGGAGAAAGCTGTTGGCATCATGACAGCCAAAAAGCAGAGAGAGCAGGGAGGAGCTAGGCAGGGAGAAACACCTTCCTGGTCACAGCTCCAATGACCCGCCTCTCACCAGGCCCCACCTTCTAACAGTAAGTCAGCTATAGACTTCCCCCCACCCAACCCCATTATTCAGTTACCTTCCAGAATTCCTGTCTGTGAGTGCAGAGACCTTTGGGGGGTCTTCTTGATCTAAACCTTAATGTCACCCTTAAGTTTGATGTTGTCAGCACTCCATTAATACAACCTTCAGTGGATGCAACAAATATCCTTTATTCTTGATTTGCTATGAGTTATAATCACAAATGCTTGCTAGTTTTAACAAATAGCCTTTCCTTTATTTACTGAACCGATCATGTTTCTCGTCTCTGAGAATGAATTCCACTGATAATTTTCAGATCCTAAGTCTAAGCATAATTATTAAGTGTTCCCTTCTCACTCTCAAAAGCACCCCATGTTTTACAACAAATCACACATTTAGCCTTTGTAGAGCCTCCTCTTGGTCTCCCATAAACACTGGTCTTCTTTGAATGTGCAGCTTTAGAGATTTGCTTTTCCTCACACACTGGATTTGATGGTTTTATTAGACAAACTACATGTAAGATGCTTCCCTGATATACAGGAGTAAACTGGAAATTTGGGGAGCTAAAGAACGTCTTACACAATGACATATTTAAAATAAGCAGAGATTTAAATTCTTCCCTTACCAAGTCTCTCTGGGTGGTATTCAAGCCCACAGGGAAAGGTCAAGCTATGGACTCAGGAAGAGTTTTGTCTTTTTCTCCTTACTTTTTGCTCCTCACCTTCTGTGTTGCCAAACCAGATCTTCCACAAAGTCAGACCTCTTAAAAGTTTAAAGTTAATGTGGAAAATGCTAAGTGACAAATGGAAGGCCCTTTATACTTCAGTAATTAATAAATAAATAAATATATTTAAGGAAATACCCTACACCTGGCCAAAGTGTCTCTTGGATGCTTTCATTTGGTTTGGGGATGCTTGAGAGGTAAAGTTGAAGGCTTTGAGAATTGCTTTAAAATACTACCTAAAAAAATCACTCAAGTAGCACCTAATGTCAATGAATAAAGGTAGTGGGCATTTGGACACTATGTTTAAATGGAACCTTCTTTAGACAGAGATTTCAGAGATGGTTTCTAATCACAGTATTCACAGGCACTTAGGGTGTGAGTCAAGGCAGGTCCCCCCATAGATAACATTAAGAACAATAATAGCTGCTGACATTTGCATAGGAATCTGTCAGATAATTCTTATACGTTGTGTCAGAAATACAAAAGAAGAAGAATTGTCAGGGTAAATCCAAGAAAGAAATTGAAGTGTAGATACAAGGAATATAAAAAAAAAAAAAAAAAAAACCTAATAACTGGTGGTGATACAGACTTGTCACAAGGAGTCTCACTGCACCTTCTACCACCCAGGAAAGTAAGACTCTGAGACTGATAGGCTGCCTTACCGGAGGCAAACAGCTGGTGAATGGCAGGACTGAAATTTAAACCCAGGAAATCAAGCCCCAAAATATTAGTTTTAATCTTGATGTTCAATAACCTGTGTCCCAATGTGGGAAGCCGAAACACAGAAAAAAAGTGTAGGCTTTCCTAAGGAGCCCAATCACAAATATGTAGGTAGAGCAGATATGTAGACCTGTATTACTATAAATATTTGTCCCACAGTGCCATTTATTGAATGCTTATAGAAAAAACAATCCTGATGCACTTTTCACGTATTTTATTGTTCCTGAAACTGGTCCTAAGTCACAAGCTCTGTAACCCTGCATCAGTGCCATCTCAGGCTGCCTTGGCATGGATGCTCCTTCTGACACTCAGCAGCCCGGATTCTGCTCACCGCATGCAAAGTTCTCCTGTCTCACTCTCTCCTGGGCTTCCTAGAAGCCATCCTGTTCACAGAGGAGAATTCATTTCAATCTTTGGCCTGAGAATGGCTGACTCCTTCACTGGGTGATTCCCAGCCCTCATCAATGTGGGTAGAGAGGAGGATTCTATGGGTTGCATAAGGGAACGTCTTCCTACATGAACTGAGCACCTGGACTATGTGCAAGCACATTTGCATCTCCTCCTACACTAGGTGTGGAGCAGAGTCAGTGAAAACCTGCCCAAGTTCCACCAACTAGGATAGCAGCCAGGTATCAATCCAGATAAAACGATATCATGTGTCAGGGCTACAACAGAATTCCCAGGAGCTAAATGGAACAAGGGTCACAATCCAGGGCTTAAATGAGTAGAAAACATCAGATTGAGAGTTCCAGTTGTAGTTAAATCTATTTTGTATTGGTAGAAAATGTCACATGAAAACGCAGAGCCAGACTATGGGTAAGTAGGAACCCAGGACAACAATTCTTATTGGGAAATGACCTTGGCTTGTTGTTCCTGTTTTTCCTGAATCAGCTCTTTCCCTAATAAAACCACTTTGCCTGCATCAACATGGAGAATTTTGGGGTTAGGACTTTAACACCTACTTTTTTTCTGATGTAGATTTTATGATCTTACCATTGTGAACAATTTCAGATTCTTGAAGACCCTGATAATGACATGCAAACATTCTTTGTAACTTCAAGCTGTGAGTGGAATACTATTCTGGCAGAAGTCCGTGTTATGACTTCTACAAATTGTTCTGGGACTCATCAGACTCTAGTTCTCCAAGCAGCATACCGGAGTGTCGCTTGTAGAGGTAAACGTCTCAAAAGTGTTTGCAGCTCCTTGTAAGCTCACATTACAAAGACAGCATGTCCAATGACTTAGGCATCTTCAAGTTCATGATGCGTCTCATTTCTTGGAGTTCAAAGAGGTGTAAGGGTGAGTTCTCAAGCTGCTCCTGTCTTCTGGTAGAAGCTAATTATTTCTCAGTCTCTGGCCCAGGCACAAGACCTGTAGAACAGAGCCAAAAATATTTCCTGGAGTTTAAAGCAGCCCTGAGTTCAGGGGAATGGCATGGTGCAGTGGTTAATGACAGGAAATGCTTAGTCGGGATTATATTTATTTTATACTTAGGTATTGGTATTTCTTGTGGACAATTATTTCTTCAGGACATTTTCTTATTCCCTCTGAACTATGTGACTATGATTGCTGGATGTGTATTTGGGATCACGGACCTTCATGAATAGTTAACAGGAGACACAGAATTGCCATTGTGTGCCCATCCAGCACCTGCAACCTATTGTTCCTGCATTCATTGCTAGCATTTTTCAAAAAAGATGACATTTTCCTCTATTTATGGAACTTCTCAGCTAGTTAAATACTGTGCAAACCAAACAAAGGGAAAAATGAATGCCCTTGTATCCTGCCTTATTTGTATTCCAGAGTCCATAAAGTGTGTGCTATGGTTGAGTTATTAGACATTAACTGCCTTCCCTAACTCCATTTCTTGACATGTTTTGATGCAGCTCAATCTTTATATCTGGAAAGAAATTTTCATATAAAATATGAATATCTGGATTTGCTTTTTTGGTGGAAATGAAGTTTCTAGTAATTACTTATGGAAGCTAAAAGTAATTTCTTAATCAGATGATCAACAAACAACAAAAAGTGCACCTTGATCACTGAGGGGAAACTGCTCTGTCACGATCCTCCTGTTTCGTGGCTGAGCTCTGTGAGGCCATCTGGGTAACCTTTGTCTGTATGTCTAATGCTGTTTCATCCACTTTCATTATTACGTCATTATTGTTCCCACTTGTGTGACTTGATCCTGACTCACTGTGCTTTGCTAAGAACAAGTTCTTTGCGCACATAAGGGTTGAGTACGTGACTTAGAGCTTCTTTCCTACACTACAGCCAAAGTCCACAATGAGAATTTAATCACAAGATATCACCTCTTCCATCACCGTATGCCGTCTCAAATAATTTGGTGATAAGCTATGGTTGCTCTAATTGTTTTCTTTTTTCATTTAACAACCTTCAGTTGAGGGAAAATAAACCAATGTTTAGAAATCTAAATCAAATATAGTAGGCCTACCTTTAGTTTATTGTCAAAATAGAATCCCAAGCTTAAGCTGAAATATGACCAGTTTCTTGAAACTGAAACTTCTGAATTAATGTAACTTAACTAGCATTATTTTTAGAATAATTAGTGCCTTAAAAATATAAGCATCATCTAGTTTAGAAAAAGAAGAATGAATTTTTATTGTGTTGGGAAACTGGCACTATTCTACAACGAATCCAGAGTACCAGAAATATAATTTGAGTTTACGAAGATATTGGAAAATGAAGAATTGGTTTTGTTTATTTCTTTACTCATGGTCTTGTAAAATATATTTAAGTAATTTAATTAACCTCCTTGAGTCTCACTTATCAGGTATAAAATTTTAAAAATTAGCTGAAGTTAATTCATTGGCTTACTGTGAGAATTAAATAAGAGGAGCAGTTCTGGATACATAATGAGCACTCAGATATCAGCTATTAATTTTTTTAAATGAGGATAAGACAATTATAGCTTCTCATGTATCATCTATAATGTGATTTAAGTTACAGACTTTTATTCCAGAACTGCTATAAAGTCCCACAGTATAGAAGTCAATGGGACAGAATTCTCACAAGATTTTTTATTCCATTAAAATAATTCAAGGTAATTTTTCTGTTATGGTTTAGATATGCAATGACCACAAAGCCTCATGTGTTCGGGAGTAACTGGATTATAGGATGTTACAGAGGACTTGCTGATAGGAAGTGGGGGTCCGGTTAGAAGAGGCTGGGCCTGTTTCTATCTTGCAGCATGCTGACCATGGACGGTATCTTCTGAAACTATACCTGACCATGTGGTTCATGGCCTTTGGAACTAGTATGTGGGAAGAGGTTGGAAAAGTTTAAAGATACCAGCTAAAGAAGCTCTAGAACACAATAATTTGAACTACATAGGACACTTGGCTCGGTGTTCAGAAGACTGGAATGCTTAAAGAAATGCAGATGATAATCACCAGACTCAGGAGATTTCAGTTGGGAACAAGGACTTTATCAGCAGTTGAACTCAAGACTATGTATATCATGCTATTGCAAAAAAAAATTACCATTGTTTTTGCCTATTTCCTGAGACTCTTCAGGAGACAGATTAAGGGTGGCAGACTAACTTGTCTAGCAGAGGAAATTTTAATGTCCGATCTGAGACATGGATACTTCTGGCTGCTTTTACCTAGGTTTATAGTAAGAATCAGGAGCAAATCGCAGCGTCAAATGATTTTAAAAGTTTTTAGTTTCATCAGAAAGGAAGCACCTGCCAAACTGGGACAAAGGAGAGCACAAATCCTGAAAAGACTCGTATTAATAAGAGGCCAAATACTTTGCATCCAGATGGTAAGAATGGCACCATATTTACTTTCAGCCTTTACCTATGTTGCTATTTTTTTGGAATCACAGAAGTTATGTTTAGGAAAAAACACTTCTGGAAGAAAGCTGTGCAAACTGTAGAATGGTCATCAATGCAGCTCAGATGAAAAGTTTTTATTACGTGCTGACTGCGTAGCCAAAGCCTGCCGGGCAAAGCCCTGACCTGAGCACTCCTGGGGCTCTGCTTTCACTGAGCTCTTTTTACTGGAACCTAAAAGAAATGAGACTGGTTTTCTATGAAGAGGACTATATAAAGTCAAAGCAAAATGCCTCTAGCTTAAACTATGTACAATTTCCTTCTCTTGCTATTAGCAACTTCTGGCTTTAAATGTGGGTAATACAAATGGACCAGAATTGTTATAAAGTGCAAATATTAGACATATGGATCCTATAAACTTTATTAATGCTATATATCTAAAAGAGTGACATGATTTCACTGTTAATATTATAGTAGTCATATGTATTTATTTTTTTAAATATCTTTTTTCTTTTTTTGAGACCGAGTCTTGCCATGTAATGCAGGCTGGTCCAAAGCTTGCTTATGCAGCCCAGATTGGCCTCAACCTAATGGCAATCCTCTTGCCTCAGCATCTCCAGGGCTGAGATTACAGATGTGCACCACCATGCCTGGAAAAAATATCCTTATTTTAAAAGAATATATTCATTTTCAAATTCTACAGCATAATCTACCAATTGTCTGAATGAATACATGTTTGTTTGAGTAACAGAATGTTGGACTGATTGCATATGTCTATATGAATCCACTATCATTTATTGAGCAAGGTCTGTTTTAGGTTTCTGGCTCATTTTAATTCTTTTAATTTTGAAAATGAAAGAAGTTTAAATTATTCAGTGTTAAAATAAGAACTATAATACTTGAAAATACTGCTTTTATTCTTTACTAAAATCTTTTTAAGTGGCAGAAAAAGTGACTAATTTTATCAGCACTAGAGGTTCTTCGAGGATTGGTAGTAGATACGTTTCATATTCTATTGGCTTAAAATTGTCATCTTTGGGAGTACTGTTCTGGGACAGGGCAATAAAATGATAGATGTATAAAATTACTGTGATTGAAAAATGGGGTAACAGTGAGAAATAAGGAAAGAAAAATTCACACGGTCAATTCACATGTGGAAAAGTATTGCCATATTAATAATCAAAACTGTGCAATGCAAATTACAATTTACAAGGATCATTTCTACCTTTAACAGACAAAAGCAAAGAAGAAAATTTTTTTTCCTGATTAAGCCTTAGTAAAATAAACACATTCATGTATTTTAGCTGTTTCTCAGTGTAAACTTTACTATAGTATAAAAATCCTTAGAAATATTTAAGCTCGTTAGTCTAGTCAATTAAATTCCAGAAACATATACCAAGAGAGAAAAATACAGGTGTGCTATTATTTAGTTTTAAATATAATCACTACAATATTATTTGTGAGTAAAAATTAGAAGCCTAACATATATACCACAAGATTAAACACCTTATAGAATAAAAAATGTAGGAATTAAAAATTATGTTATCAAATTGTATTTAACAATGTAGTGTTAATGATAAGTGAGATACTGAAACATGCAATAAACCAAGGATATCAATCTGGGTATATACTCTGATTCACGTCACTAAACAATCACACTGAAGTTTACCTGGACCATGACTGACTTTCAGAGACAGGAATTGACACATTAGATCAAATTTCAGTTCAAAAGTCAAAAGAAATCCTAAACCACTTTTCAGGGCAACATAACTCTTCTCCAAGGAATATTTTCAACACAGTTAAGCAAAAACTTCATCTTCATGTAAAATGTATCACAGTTTGTACAGTCTTTCAGATACAGTTTGTCTCTGGATCTTTAAAATAGTTCTGTGATGTTGGAAGGATAATATTAACTCCTTTATTTAAAGGCAAAAATAAAGAGAGCTGTCATTGTGTGGGGGGAGTGACAGTGCCAATGTTTACCATTACTCTTCCTCATTTTCCTTGGCAGAAGTGATTCTTCACGAGCAAGGTTCATTTGGTTTGGGAATGTATTTTTATCTCCTACATAAACTACTTCTCAGAAAAGTGCACTGCTTACTGTTTTGTTTTTGAACTAGGGATTGAACCTAGGACCTAAAACCTTAATGGAAATATATTTTTGTTTGTTTGTTTGTTTGTTTTTGGTCCTGGGGTTAAACTCACTCAGGACTTTGTGTTTGCAGGGCAGACACCGTGCCACTGAACTATATCCCCAACCCCATGATAAACTAAATCCTCAGCCCTTTTATATTTTATTTGGAGAGAAGGTCTTGCTGAATTGCCCAGCCTGGGCTTGAAATTGCAATCATTCTGCTATAGCTTCCAAGAGGGCAGGAAATATAGGCATGTACCAGCATGCCCAGCTACACTGTTTATCTTTAGTTTATCCTGTGTGCTCTACAGGCCCCTAGTCCTAGTATTAATCTGTATATAAACATGTACACTATGCATTACTGTATGTATAACAACACTACAGAATATATAATTAAGCCTAAGGTCTGGTATTCGTGAGCCGAATCAGACCAATCACTAT